TCAGGCTTGGTTCTGGGCATTGATCAGGTTTGGTTCTGGGCATTGATCAGGCTTGGTTCTGTGCATTGATCAGGCTTGGTTCTGGGCATTGATCATGCTTGGTTCTGGACATTGATCAGGCTTGGTTCTGGGCATTGATCAGGCTTGGTTCTATGCATTGATCAGGCCTGGTGCCATTCATTGATCAGGCCTGGTGCCGTGCATTGATCAGGCTTGGTTCTGTGCATTGATCAGGCTTGGTTCTGGGCATTGATCGTGCTTGGTTCTATGCATTGATCAGGCTTGGTTCTGGGCATTGATCAGGCTTGGTGCTGTTCATTGATCAGGTTTGGTTCTGGGCATTGATCAGGTCTGGTGCTGTTCATTGATCAGGCTTGGTTCTGGGCATTGATCAGGTCTGGTGCTGTTCATTGATCAGGCTTGGTTCTGGGCATTGATCAGGCTTGGTTCTGTGCATTGATCAGGTTTGGTTCTATGCATTGATCATGCTTGGTTCTGGGCACTGATCAGGCCTGGTACCATTCATTGATCAGGTTCGGTGCTGTTCATTGACCAGGCCTGGTGGCATTAATTGATCAGGCCCGGTTCCATTCACTGATCAGGTTTGGTGCTGTTCATTGATCAGGCCTGGTTGCATTCATTGATCATGCCCAGTCCCATTGATTGATCAGGCCCGGTGCCATGCATTGATCAGGTTCAGTTCCATTCACTGATCATGCCCGGTCCCATTGATTGATCAGGTTCGGTGCTGTTCATTGATCAGACCTGGTTCCATTCATTGATCAGGTTCGGTTCTGTTCATTGATCATGCCTGGTCCCATTGATTGATCAGGCCCGGTGCCGTTTATTAATCAGGCCCGGTCCCATTGATTGATCAGGTTCGATTCCACTGATCAGGCCCAGTCCCATTGATTGATCAGGCCCGGTTCCGTTCATTGATCATGCCCGGTGCCGTTCATCGATCAGGTTCAGTGCTGTTCATCGATCAGGCCTGATCCTGTTCATTGATCAGATCCAAGGTGCCGTTCATTGATCAGGCCCGGTGCCGTTCATCAATCAAGTTCAGTGCTGTTCATTGATCAGGCCTGATCCTGTTCATTGATCATGCCCGGTGCCGTTCATCGATCAGGTTCGATCGCATGGATCCGGTTCGGTCCCAGCCGGGTTTCCGTGGCGCGGCGCTGCCCCCTGGCGGACACCGGGAGCGCTGCAGGGAGCAGGGCGGGTTCTCCTCCCGCCTCGGGAATTTCACCTTTGGGAGCTCCGCGTGTCTCCGTGCTGGCTGCAATCACTTCTCTATGTAATTAGAAAATAATTCTGTTCATTTTCCATAGAATAACCTTGTTTTCCTCATTTTTCTTTACTAACAACGCTGGATTTCTTTGCTGTTTTAAATAATGTTCTGCTGTGGGAAAGTTTTGCTGTCCCTGTGAATATTCCTGTCATTAACTCACAAATAATTGACTTTGTCTCCTCTAAGCTGTTTTTGCATCCCATTCTGGTGTAAATAGTAATTTCTCTTGCCTGTGTTTTTTCCCTCTCTGCAAGCACGCCTTTCATATAATGATTGAGGTAAGAGGATGTTTGTTCCTGGCTCTGGGGCTTTCTGGGGATGTGGGAGATGTTTTTTTGCTCTGAATTGTGATTTCTCAGTATTTTGGACAAGCCATCTGTCAGCATGTGTGGTTTAAAATGCAGATTTAGGTGTGGTTTGTGGATCTGCTGACATTCCCTGGAGTTGCTGAGTGCTGGGGTCAGGATGTGCAGGCTGGGCTGGATCCCAGGGGTTCCCTGGAACCGAGGGCTCATCCCCCCCACTGTGCCCTGGCCTTGGCTCTCCCTTCCCAGCTCCCCCTGTGACAAATCCATTGGAGCTCTGGGGGCTCCATGTGCTCATCTGGGATTTTGTGTGGGGCAGGAACTCCCAAAAATGGATCGTGTGGAGAAAAATAAAAATACTCCTTCACCACTCAGTCTGTTCGTTTTTCCCACTGACCACAGGATATTTATATTTATATTTATATTTATATTTATATTTATATTTATATTTATATTTATATTTATATTTATATTTATATTTATATTTATATTTATATTT